CTTATTTCAATCTTTCATCCCAATTTTTTTTTTATCCTCATAACCTTTTCTCTTTCCTGTATTCACCTTTAAAATTTTCTTTTTTTCACACCCCAAACCAAAATTTACCCCCAATCTCGATTTTTGGTAAAATTCATTCCCAGCCCGGGGAGAAAATTGGGTGTGTTTCTTACACTGTTTTTCTATTTCCCCATCATAAATGGGGAACTTGGGGTTAGCCGACTGGTGGGGGTTTATCCCCGGACACGACTTAATTTGCTGAAATACCTGCAAAAAAAGTTCTTTCTTAAAGTGAGCACGATGTCGTACCGTATAGTTGTAATTAGTTATTTAAAAAAAAAATTAATTTATTATTATTATTTATTATTATTATTATTATTATTATTATTTTATTATTATTATTTTTTATTATTAATTATTATTATTTTTATTATTATTTTATTATTATTATTATTATTATTTTTTTTCTCAAAATTGTTTGTTGGGTTACTTATTTAAACTTGGGCAAAGTATGATGGAAAAAATACAATTAATGTACACCAAAAAAAGAAAGAAAACAGACTAAAATACGAAGTTCACTTCTAGCCATTATGGCCGCTTCGGTATTTTTTGTATGGTTGTTATGGTTATATTCTCGTTTTTTTAGTCTCATTTGTAGAAGAAAGATATACTGGGACCCCCACTTTACGATCAGCTCCCAATGCACCAAAATTTTGTAAGTTTATTTATGTTGAGGCGTTTTTACATGTGTTTTTGGGGGTCTGAAAAGGGCTAACTAAATTTAAAATTCCCTTAGGGGAAAAAATTTTGTTTATAATGGCACCTGAACAACTTTTTGGGAAAGAAATAATATCGTAAAACCGGGGGCCACGATTACAGAAATAGATATGATTTTGATTGCTTTATGATGAAAAGTACCTTTAAATTGCGCCACAGTGGGGAAAATTTTTATTCTTTAGCGAAGCTCATGAGTAAACAAAAAGAAGTCACCTTTTAATACCTGTCCCCTCCCGTCCAAATTCCAATATGGGGTCAAAATGGGTTACATTATTTTTTACAATTATTACAAAAATCGCATCTGCAAAAACAGTAAATCTTCTATTTTTTTTGTGAAAAAAAAATTTTAAAAAAAGCAAAGTAATATATGAGGGGCCTGGGGCCTTGACTAATTACCAGAGAAAATTTACTTTAGTGCCAGGAAAGTCTGCATTGTTTATTCTGGAAACCCTTTTGAAATTGGGGACTTTTTAAATTTGTGTGAAATTGCCAAAGCCAATTTTTGATCACTTTTTGGGGAGTTTTAAAAAGTGAATGGGCGGGTTTTTGTACTCAGCGACAGACAGAAGTAAACAAGGGGGTTTTTCAGGATACAAAAAAACAGTAACATAGATTATCATACTGCAGTGGGTAAGAACCTAGGGTTAACCCAAAAAAGTCAAAGCGACTTATTTCCGTACCGGGTTGGGGGTTGATATATATGATTTTTTGGTAAAAATTTTTTTTCCCCCTCAGTTTTTTGTTTTTGGGGTACTTATTGAAACTTGGGCAATGTATGATGAAAAGACCTTTTTAAAAGTACAACAAAAATAAAGACGGGCGTAAATAAGGGAAATTTAACTCTCAGGCCCTTAGCCCCTCTTGCGGTAATTTTTGCATGGTTTTATGGTTGTATTCTTGTTTTTTTTGGGCTCATTTGATAGAATGCAAATATATTTCAGAAAAGAATGATTTTTATTGTTTTCATGACGAAAAATTCCTTTAAATTTACTCAAATACGAGCGGAAATTTTTCGATTTTTTTCCGATGTTCAATAACTTTGTGGGGAGTCAAGTTGGTTAATTTTAATAAGTTATTTTAACCTAACCACTCTGTAATCCGGCAAAAAATCAGTAATCCGGCCACACAGGCCCAATGAGCCCCGGGTTTGTGATGGAGGGCCTGTACCCTTTTTCATAAAAAGTATTACTTATTACCAAATCTCTTTCTACACATAGCTCAAATTTTAAAAGGGTCCTCTCTCATTTACCCTTGGCACCCCAAATTATATACCTTTTTCCCCAAAAATTTTTAAACCCCCTTACATTGAAAAACCCCAACCCAATATGTACACTTCGTTCAAAACTCCCCATAAAACCCCACTCATTCCCAAAACCCCCTCCTCTCCCTACATTCTCTCTTTTGCAGGTGCATATAACTTTCTATACTCACTTTTTACATCCAACCTTTATTTTACTCCACTAATCCTTTAATTAAACATTTTTACCCCTCCTTTCCTGCCCCAAACTATCCTTCAAAAATTATTGCTACTCCTTTTTTAGCTCAACGTATTTGAAACCCCTGACCTAACCATTTACTTTTTTCCACTGAAAACTCTCCCACCCCTTTACTTGTTTCACTTAAAGCCAGGACATCCACTTTTTTTCATTCATAGCATCCACTTATCTTTTCTTTCATTTGCAAAAAGCACCTGCACATTCAAATCCCACTTTAAAATTTTCTTCTTCTTTTAGTAATTGTACAGGGAAAGTGGTTATACCCATTTTCCCGGCATTTTATTGAATTTTACAACACGCATGGCTTACCCGGGGGAAAGATTCTTTGACTTCCCCCCGGAAAATAAAAGGAAAAAAATAAGAACAAGAACATTAAGTAAAAAACAAAGAAAAATCAATGGGTGTGTATAAAATAAAATGTGTACATGATGGTAGTGTACCTAAGTGCAATAAAGTAGCAAGACAAACCTGAAATCGCATATTTATGAGACAGACAAAGACAACCAGCAATCCACCATCATGAAAACACTTAAGGCTCTCTTTACACTCACTTGGCAGGATGAGTACCCCCTGGGGGTTTCTGTCTACAAACCTACTACCATGTAGTTGCAAAATATTTTTTAAAAAAATTTGGGGAAAATTTTTTTACTGATTACCATGAATTCACTCGCACTACCCCCGATTTTTTTGATCATATAAATTAACATATAATAAAGGATTATTGTTGATTTTTTCAACCTTTTAAGGACAGCAAAGAAGAGAGAGCAGCATATGTGAATGGTGAATAGTGAAACCTTGAGGAAATTTTCACCACCACCCCAGCTTGTTATTCACGTCTGGGGGCTTGACCACCAACATGGCTTGTGTGTTCACCACTATGGGTTGTTGTTCACCACATGGGTTTTATTTCACTATGGGCTTGTGTTTTCCTGTGGGCTTGTGGTTCACTACCCCCCCCACCACATGCTTTTGTTTAAACCACCACAAAGTCTTGTGGTTCAGCCCACCCCCTGGCTTGTGTGTTCAGCACCCCACCATGGCTTGTGGTTCACCACCAGGCTTGGTGTTCACCCCCATGGCTTTTGGGGCTTTACTTGGGACAAATTCCCCATCAAATGTAAGGGAAAATTTTTTGGGAATTTTACAATTGGGTTTTTTTTTTTCTTAATAGTGGTACAGTTGGTAGGCAGAACATTTATTCTTCTTTCCTCAAACTTTCCGACCCACCAAGGTATGGGGCCAAAAAGAAAAGGGGGGATACCAATGGGCCCCCGGCTGTCTTCAAGAAGGCCAGCACAGGCGCCGAAGTCAGTACCTGCCAAACCCGGGCGTGGTTTTTACAACACTTGCGTGCCCAGCGTAACAGCCGATTGATCAGACCCTGATCCACCCTGAGGTCTGGGCCCAAACGAGCTCAGGGCTTTTACCCCCAAAATCCCTCCAGGTAAACTCCAGGTATGCCATGCATTTTTAAAGGCGACGAAAGCTGGGAACAAGGGGTTAGTACCCCCTTCTCCTGTATAAAAATTTAAAAAATTTATAAAGAAAAACTTTGGTTTTTCTTTTTAGTCCACCCTGCCTTTGGTGGGATCAACTTGTTTGTTTAAAAAAAAAAAATGCTATTGACTTTTAAAAACCCTTTAAAAGGTCCAAACGATATAACTTTTTTAACATTTGAAAGTATTAAAAAAATGTAATCTTTTTTTTTTTCATTTGAAAATGTGTAAAAAAACTTTTTATGTACATGTGTTTTTTTGTTATGTTCGAAAATATGTAAAAAAACGTAGATCTACGTTTGGAGCACTACGGATTTGAACGTCGATCTGTTTGGACCGTTTAAGGGTTAACTGTCTGAACCTTACTCTAGTTAAATCATTTCAGAGCATGATGTTACATAAGAAAATTATTATTTTTGTGATGTTAAAGTTATAGCTCTGAGGTTTTAAGAATACAACCCTATTTTACCCTATGTTTTTCAGTCTATTAGTCATGGAAATAATTAGTAGAGGAGTTTTCTGGAACATAACCCACGTAAATTGTGATCACTGGACATTCACTTCATTCTGTCTGATGTCTGGATTTTCATGGCTTAAACTTGTTTTGTGCATCACTTTACTCTTGTTTATGTCCACTTTTAGTTTCCTTTCACACAATTTCCTATGCTTCACCAACCTTCGTAACTATTACAGAATCTTGCAAGAGGTGTCATTTGCAAAGAGCAACTAAGAGAACTTCCCTTTGTATCAGATTCAGTCTTATAATACCATTCCTCTTCTGAACACTAACAATTACTTCTACTACTTCACGTATAGAAATTGTAAATGTTATTTGTAATGTATGCTACCTGTCTAAGGTCTACTTTTAGTAGAAAATAATCCTCTTCCCTTCATATCACAAGTCTTGCTCTTGCATGAAACACTACTACTTCTAGTAACCTACTACCTAATCTATGCATTTGCAGCATTGCCACTGTGTTCTGTCCACCCTACTTATTCCTTTTCCCACTCTAAATGCAACAAAGTTCCTTTTGTTGAAGTGTTCATATGTATGTTGTCGTAATTATATTTTTAAAATAATGATGTAAATTTAATTACTGATTACCATGAATTACACTCGTCACTACCACTGATGTATTTGGTCATATAATTAGACATATAATAAAAGATTAGTTGTTGATTTTACAACTCTTTCAGAGAGAGAGAGAGAGAGAGAGAGAGAGAGAGAGAGAGAGAGAGAGAGAGAGAGAGAGAGAGAGAGAAGCAGCAGCAGCAGCAGCATCAGCAGCATCATCATCGTCGAAGTGGTGAGATATGTGAATCCTTGAGGAAGATGTTCACCACCACCACAGCTTGTATATTCACTGTCTGGTGTGCTTCACCACCATGGCTTGTGTGTTCACCGCTATGGCTTGCATGTTCACTGTGGCTTATGTGTTCACTACCACCACCACCACCACCACCACCACTATGCCTTGTGTTAACCACCACAAAGTCTTGTGTGTTCAAGCCCACCACCATGGCTTGTGTGTTCACCACCATGGCTTGTGTGCTTCACTTGGCACAAATTCTCTCATGAACTGTAAGGTAAATTTTTAGGTAATTGTACAATGTGTATTTTGCTTTCTTATGTATGTAGTACATGTTGGTAGGCAGAACATGTTATTCTTCTTTCAACAAACTGGTGTATCCCACCAAGGAAGGGTGGGCCAAAAAGAAAACCCTAAGTTTCTCTGTTTTAAGTTTAGTAATATATGTAGGTGTGTGAGGGAGGGGGTAAAGGAGGTTTTGTGGGCGAGGGGCTTGGACTTCCTGCAAGCGTTCGTGAGCATGTTAGATAGGAGTGAGACGAATGATATTTGGGACCTGACGAGCTGTTGGAATGTGAGCAGGGTAATATTTAGTGAAAGGATTCAGGGAAACAGGTTATTTTTATATTGCTGGACTTGAGTCTTGGAAATGGGAAGTACAATGTTGCCTGCACTTTAACCCTTAAATGGTCCAAACGTATATACAGTGGACCCCCGGTTAACGATATTTTTTCACTCAATAAGTATGTTCAGGTGCCAGTACTGACCGAATTTATTCCCATAAGGAATATTGTGAAGTAGATTAGTCCATTTCAGACCCCCAAACATACACGTACAAACGCACTTACATAAATACACTTACATAATTGGTCGCATTTGGAGGTAATCGTTATGCGGGGGTCCACTGTATACGTTTTTTCAACATATGAAAGTATGTAAAAAAATGTAGATCTTTTTTTTGTTTTACATGTGAAAACGTGTAAAAAAAACTTTTATCTACATTTTTTTTGTTATACAGTGGACCCCCGCATAGCGATTTTAATCCGTGCAAGAGGGCTCATTGTTATGCGAAATGATCGGTATGCGAATGAATTTTCCCCATAAGAAATAATGGAAATCAAATTAATCCGTGCAAGACGCCCAAAAGTATGAAAAAAAAAATTTTTTACCACATGAAATATACATTTTCCTACACACAAAGAGAAGGATACATGCACAATAGTAGAGTAGTACATGCACAATATATAATGTGCATGTACTACTCTACTACATGAAGATAAATGACACTTACCTTTATTGAAGATGCAGCAATGACTGATGAGACACTGTGTCCTGGGAGTGCCTTTTTCCTCCTGAGTACTGTAGGTCCTGTTTGGCATTTTTCTTCCAGAACAGGCCTTATCACACTGTGTATGCCACTACAATTCTTAAATCTCTCAAACCAACCTTTGCTGGCTTTAAATTAACCAATATGAGCACTAGTTCCAGGCATTTTTCCCTATTCACCTGGGTGTTAGTCGACTTGTGTGGGTTGCATCCTGGGAGACAAGATTAAGCACCCCAAAGAAAATAATTTTAGACGTTTTCGAGGGGACACTGATTTTTTTTTGGGTTTTTCCTGGGGGAAAATCCCCCGGGGGGTTAATTGTTTTTGGATTTCAATAACCAACCAACAACGGTCCCCAACGCGCAGCGGGTGACAGTGCTACCCCCGCGGCAGACGGATGCTACCCCAGCACCCAGAGGGTGGTACCGCACAGAAAGGCAGCAGCAGCTGACGGTGCTACAGCAGCAGAAGCCCGATGAAAAGCAGCGCAGACGGGGGTACAGCAGAGCAGCAGCATGACGGGGGCTACAGCAGCGGGCAGAGATGCAAACAGCAGCAGCAGAGGGTGGTACAGCAGCATGACGGTGCTGGCAACAGCAGCCTGCAGCACCCTGACGTGCGCAGCAGCTGCCAGTGGTCCCAAGCAGCAGCACAGCCTGTACCCCCAAATAGTACCCGAGGGTTTGGTTTGGGGGGTTTATTATACAACCTGGCCAGCTGGGAGAAAAGCAAACTTTCTTTACTTAAAATGATCTTTTTCTTCATTCTATAGAAATTCTCCCCCCTTATTGCGGGTAGGGTTGGAAATAAAAGCTTTCTTGGGGCCCATGGCCCTTTTTTTCCCAGAAAAAAATCACCAAAAACACTGTAATAAAAACAAATGTTCCGATTGTAGGGCTTGGATGTTCCCCGCGGGGCTGGTTTGGAAAACCCAATGCCCCCGGGGGGGGAACATGTGGGGCGGGCAAAGGGCGCACATTGGCCCCCTGGGACGAACGGGGGTGAGGGGGTTTTTTTGACGGTATGCAGGAAAAATTTTTTGCGTTTAAAAAGCGAGCGGTATGGGGTTTTAAACGTTATGTTTTTTGGGCCAAAACGGTATGGGGGGGCCCCACTGTATTTAAAAAATAAAAAAAAAAGTAGATCTACTTTTTTACACTACAAAATTTGAACGCATCTGTTTGGACCTTTTAAAGGGTTTTAAAGGGAAAGGGTTTTGGGGGAATTTTTGGCATTTGGGAGGTTTTTGTTGTGTAATCTTTTATATATGATTTCAAAATGTTTTTATTTTGACACCTCTGAAAAAAAAGTGATTATGTAAAAAGTGAGGTAAAAAGTGTTGAATGAAAAAAAAGTTTTTTCGGGGGTTATTTTTTTTTCTTTTTTTTTTTCACCCTGCTTCGGGGGGGGAGGGTTTTGACTTTTAAAGGAAAAAAAAAATGTAGTGTGTTGTGAAAGTCAACAAAATGCCAGCAGCAATGGGGTAGTAACACCTTTTCCTGTACAGCTTAATAAAAATATAAAGAAGAAAACCTTTATGTTGGGATGTTTGAATGGGCATGGATGTAGTGTGAATGATAAGAAATAAATGATTGTGGATGTTATGAATGAGAAGTTGGATGTCCTGTCTCTAAGTGAAACAGAGCTGAAGGGGGTAGGAGAGTTTCATTGGGGAGAAATAGATAAGATTAAGTCAGGGATTTCTAATAGTGTTATAGCTAAGGAAGGAGTAGCACTAATGTTAAAGGATCAATTCTGGCAGGAAAAGAAGAAATATAAATGTATAAATTCAAGGATTATGTGAAGTAAAATAAGATTGGGATGTGAAAAGTGGGTTATAGTAAGTGTTTATGGACCTGGAGAAGAGAGAAGTGTAGAGGAGAAAGAGATTTTGGGAGATGTTGAGTGAGTGCTTGGTGAATTGTGAACAAAGAGAGTACTTGTGGTGGGGTACCTAAATGCTGAAGTGGGTAAATCTGTTATGGAGGGAGTAGTAGATACGTTTGGGACACCAAGGGAAAATGAAAATGGGGGACCTTTAATTGAACTATGTATAGAAAGAGGATTGGTAATACATATTTAAAGAAAAAGAGGATAAATAAGTATACAAGATATGATACAGCATGTAATGACAGTAGTTTGTTAGATTATGTATTGGTGGATTAAAGGTTGATGAATAGACGTCAAGATGTGCATGTTTATAGAGGGGCAACAGGTATATCGAATCTTTTTTTAGTTGTAGCTACAGAGTAAGAGGTAGATGGGGCAAAAGGAAAATGGCAACAGCAAATAGGAGAGGTGAAAGTTTATAAACTAAGGGAGGAGGAAGTTATGGTGAGATATAACCAACTGTTGGGAGAAAGGAGGGCTAGTGAGAGTATAAGTAGTACGAGGGATTGAAGAGGGGTGTGATAGTTTTAAAAAGGTAGTATTAGAATGCAGAGCAGAAGTGGATGGTTATAGGAGGGTGTTTGCTGGAGGAAAGAGGAGTGATTGGTGGAATGATGAGGTAAAGGGTGTGATAAATGAGAAAAGGGTCATATTTGAGAGGTTTTTACAGATCAGAAGTGTTATATGAAGGATGGAGTATATGAAGTGTAAAAGAGAGGTGAAGAGAGCAGTTGAGGAATGCAAAAGAAGAGTGAATGTTAGAGTGGGTGAGACACTGTCAGAAAATTTTAGAGAGAATAAGAAAAATTTTTGGAGATAAATAGGTTAAGAAAGCCTAAGGAACGAATGGATTTGTCAGTTAAAAACAAAAATAGGGAGTTAGTAGATGGGGAGTTGGAGGTATTGGGAAGATGGCGGGAATATTTTGAGGTGGGGTATAGTTTTTGGAGTGGTTGGTACTTTTGTTCAAAAAATGTATGAAAGAGGAGAAGGTATATAAGGATTGGCAGAAAGTATGTACAGTTCCTTTACATAAAGGAAAGGGGGACAGAAGAGATTAAAAATTATAGGGGAATAAATTTACTGTGTATACCAGGTAAAGTGTATAGTAGGGTAATTATTGAAAGAATTAGAGGTATACAGAGAGCAGAATTGCAGATGGCCAATGATGCTTTAGAATGGGTAGGAGATGTATAGAGCAAGTGTTTACATTGAAGCATTCAAGTGAACAATATTTAGATAAAGGTAGGGATGTTTTCATTGCATTTATGGATTTAGAAAAGGCATATTATAGGGTGGATAGGGGAGCAATGTGGCAGATGTTGCAAGTGTATGGAATAGGTGGTAAGTTGCTAGATGCTGTTAAGAGTTTTTATGATAAGCTCAGGTTAGGATGTGTAGGAGGGAGATTATTTTCCAGTAAAAGTTGGCCTTAGACAGGGAAAGTGTAATTTCATCACTGTTTAACATATTTATAGATGGAGTTGTAAAAGAAGTAAATGCAAGGGTGTTGGGTAGAGAGGTGGGATTAAATTACGAGGAATCAAATACAAAATGGGCATTCACACAATTACTTTTTGATGATGATACTGTGCTTTTGGGTGATTCTATAGAGAAGTTGTAAGGGTTAGTGGACGAGTATGGGAGGGTATGTGAAGAAAATTGAAAGTGAAGATATACAAGTTGATGAGGGTATTCCAATGAGTTAGGTAAAAAAAAAAAAAAAAAAAAATTGGATATCACATTGGAGGGAGGGAGTATGGAAGTGAATGTGTTCACATATTTGGGCGTAGATTTGTCAGCAGATGGATTTAAGAAGGATGATGTTAACCATAGAATTTTATGAAGGGAAAAAGGCGAGTCGTGCATTGTGGTATCTGTGGAGACGATGTTATCCATGGACACAAAGAAGGAAATGTATGAGTGTTGCATGGGTTGTGAATGCTGCAGTGAAGAGGAGGCTAGAGGCAGTGGAGATGGTCATGTTTAAGGGATATGTGTGGTTGTAAATGTGTGGAAATTTAGAAGGTGGTGTGGAGTTGCAAAAAGTATTATTCAGA